ATCCACTAACGGTCTTCCATCCTTCCACATATATAGCACATAGTAATGTAACCATCAATTGCATCTACGCGGTGTTCCTACTCTCTAATAGGTGAGGATAGGTCCTAATCCCACCCGCGGATGCGTAGATGAGGTTAGTTTCCATGCTCCGCTCCCTATCCGAGACAGAATTTCGGCAGCACCTCCCCGCCGTTCTTTAGATACACGTCCTGCAAGGGAGAGTGTGTATCCAGAGAACAACAAGGAGGTGATGCCGAAAGTCTGCCTCGGACCAGAGCGGACCATGGAAACTAACCTCATCTACGCATCCACGGGCTGTCCAAACAATGTGGACAATCCAAAACAAATACGGTCGCAGATATGCAAAGATCCGCATACCTTCGACCGTATCTGTTTCAGACGGGAGACGCCTAACTGGGTTACGCGACCTACGACTATGATACGGATAGAGGGGTTATACTTAAGGTGCCGGTGAGGTCAGGCTAGCGGGCGGTGTCGAGTCGGTGCAGTGGCGAGGCGACGCGGTGCAGGCAGACCCACAACGCCCACGAAGACGATCGGGGTCCTCTGGTCCCCTCCGATGGATCCTCTGCAATATAAAAAGGCAACAGGTTAGTATTTGTTAAAAAATTCGGCAGCACCTCCCCTGCACGGTGAGGTTTCCATAACCTACAAAAAAGAACAGCACGAAGGCCGACATTCACAACGGCACGAAGGACGACAACGACAACGGCACGAAGGCCGTCATATCGACATACAGCACGAAGGCTCACACAACCACATACGGCACGAAAGCCAATTACGAGAGTTTTACTTAGTGTTGCGGCGGAGTCGGGCATCGCGGTGTGAGGTTCAGTTTCTTCTCCGGTGAGGTCAAGGGTGCCGGAGTACTCCTCTCCCCTTCCTTCTCTCTCTTCTCTGCTTCTCCTCCTCCTCCTCTCCTTCCTCTTCTTCTCCTTCTCTCATTTTCCTCTTCTTCTCCTTCTCTTCCCCTTCCTCCTTCTCCTCTTTTCCTTCTCTTCTTCCTCCTAATTCACCTCTGCCTCCTCCCCTCCAACACCACCAATGACAGAGGTGCCAGGCCGAGGGCTGGCCTCAGGGTGGCGGTGGGGATGGGGCGGCCGGGCTTGGGGCAGCGGGTGGGGGCGGCCTTGACAAGGAGGGCGGCCCGGCCGGGCGGTGGGGGGTGGGCGGCGGTGGGGGGCCGGTGGTGGGTGGGTGGGGGAGGAGGGCGGCCCGGGGCAGGCGGGCCGGTGAGGTGGGCGGCCGGGGCTGAATCTCTGGGGGCCAGCGGTGGTGGTGGGGGGTGGAAGAGGGGCGGCTTGGGCGCGGGGCGGCCGCCGGTGGGAGCTGAGCTCGGGGAGGCGGCAGGCTGGGCGGGGCGAGAGGCGGGCGGCTCACGGCTGACAGCCGGTGGGGGCGGGTGGCGGCGAGGTGAGCGGCGGCGGGGGTGCGGAATCGAGCACGGGCGCGGGCCTCCAGCGATTTTGAGGATTTTGGGCCGACCCCGGTATTTTAGGTTTTGGGCCTTTGCCGAAGGCCCAGATCCAGGGCCCTCGACAAAGATGTTTTATTTTTTAAAAAAATTCTTTGCCGAGTGCCCCTGGCCCAGCACTCGGCAAAGACAGTCTTTGCCGAGTGCCAAGCTGGCACTCGACAAATTTTCAATTTTTTTTTGTTTTTTTGACCCCAAATTTTTTGTTGGGCCTGCCTACATTGTTTACTAACTTCATGTTCAAATTTGGTGCTTTTTCTAGTTTTTTTGTTATATTTGGTTGATTAATTTGATTATGTTGAATTTTTATATATAATTCAAATTTGAAGTGCAAGTGCATGGAATATTGTAATCTAGTGCTTCGAAAAATGTTATTCATGGTATTTGGTGTATTTTTGAGTCTCTATCCACGAACTCGCATCAAATTTCGCGAATCTTCTTCACGTAACATGACGAGCCACTTGCCGGAAAAGTGTTTTAAAATTATATAAAGTCCATACGAAGTCCGAAAATCACGAAACTTGTCGAGGTGTCATGTTATCGCATGTGTAGGCTGTGGTAACAAATTGAGAATGTTTCGAGCAAGTTGCGACGTCAGATGCATAAAACCCAGACATCTACACATGATTTGTTGCGAACATGAATGACCGGCATCCTACTCACCAACATGATTTGTTGCGAACTGCAACACAATTCTAAGCATAGCGCAATTAAACCATACAGGTTTAGAACATTCAGGCATTACTAGACTTGTATAAGGCCCCAAATTCAATGGACATAAAACATTAATCACTGTTATGTAAAAAAATAAAGTCAACACATTTGCAGATAAAAGCAGATAAAAGTAACGTGGCCTTTGCCTATGCGGAAGCCACTGAATGCAAACTTAGGGATTAGTGGCAGGGGAATTCAGTAATCAATACATCAGTGGTCACATTCAGCTAGGCTAGAGATGGTGTGGATTGATCAAATTGCATGGACTGGGTGGTTACCTGAACCATTCGTCGAGTCCATCTTCGTCTAGATGACCGACTTGGATCGGCTTGAGGTCTCGTCAAGGGAAGAGTGACCACCCATGCGCGCGGAAGCAGAGAGGCACTAGTGCGGCTCCAGGATCGACTAATAGGATCCGACGATCCTCCTCCTCAACGTGGAAGCTCCGGACCTTCGAGGATGCAGCGGCCGCCTTGCTCGTCTGGTTAGGGTTGGTGAGTGGGGGCGGCTGAAGTTGCGGCGAAATCACCTTTGGCTGCTTCCCCTTGCCATTCGGCACTGGTCCAACTCCGACAAGGGGAGGAGCCTCCTCCGCATGCCTGCCTCCTCACCACATCTAGCCTCCGTGGTGCCGTCGTGGTTGTGGGGAGGGGGAGGCGCGGTGGTAGCAGAGGAGGAAGAGGGGAGGTGGCGACGGCGGCGGAGGGGAGAGAGAGTGTGAGCGGAGGGGCGGTGGCCGGATCTGAACGCCGGCTTGCAGATCCAGCCGATGCCACGGTGGATTTGCCCTTCCATGCCAGATCGAAACGAGGGGACGAACCTGAGAGAGAGAGAGAGAGAGGCTCAAAACCCACAGGCTCTAGCCCATTTAGAAGGGCGAAACATCTATGTGAGCTTTTATGACCAGGATCCGGAGTGGGTTGCGTTCCTTCAGCAGGCTCCCTGGGTGCGGGGGGAGAACCGGAGAAGGGACGGGCCGAGCATTGGAGCGGACGCGTTTGCTCTTCAATTTTACTGGGTTTGATAAATTTTTCGGGCCCGTGCTCATATAGCAGTGACGCGTTTGCTCCAAACGAGTCACTGACAAGGGCCCTTCTTATCAGAGACGCGTCTAGTTGAGAAGAGTCATTGATAACTTATCATTAGTGACGTGTTTTCTTTTAGTGGTAGTGGTCAACACCTGACAAGTGATGCGTTCTGTTTAGCCGCATCACTGATCTCACATCAGTGACATGTTTCAATTCCGAGTCACTGATTAAGGTGTCTCCTTTGTCATGTTTTGGCATAGTGAGGCATCCTTCTTCCGTACCTTGCTTCAGCACTGATGCTCTACTCAGCGTAATAGGGATTGGACCTGACTGAAGCGGTACTAGGAATTGAACTAAGCAAAGCCAGGAAGTCTTGGTGGGTGGGTCAGATTGAAAGGCACCGTGCATTGATATGCCAGGGTTAATCCTGACAAGGTGCAGAAGTGTCCGCATGTTCAATGTAGCAGTAGCTTAGGACTCACTACTGGAGTAGACAAAATGCTCCATGGCACTGCTCCTGATGCCTATCAATCCTATTTGCAGTGCATGTAAATTTCTTGATTTGTGAAATTGGGATGTGTCCCACATAGTGCAAACACTAGAATGCCAGCAGTTCCATATATATGTTCATGTACGCAATGTGTTTTGCTTGTTTCTTGCTAGGCTGGCTCCCATTTTATTTGTTGTACCTCCAAACAAAGAAAATGATGGAAGTTATGTTCTTGAGCTACCTATGAGTCCATGAATTCATGTCCGCACGAATGTTGCTGAAGGATCAAAACAATGTTCACATACTATTAAATCAATCTCATAATCAATAACCGCAGTGATGCACATTTACATCACTCAAGCATTTCCTTTAACATAAATCTGCATACAAATTATCAATTATACAAAAAATAGAGCTTGGGCTAGGATGGCACTTCACTTTTACACCGATTTCTATGGACACAATTCACAACCGTCTCTATGCATGGCAAGCACCTCGAGAATTACGCGTGTTTGATGGGGTAGCTACGCAATCATGCTTAGAAATTGATTCTACAGATGGTAGGGGCGGTTGATATTATGGATGGCCTCTATGAAACTTTTCTAGAAAATTGCAAAAAGATGGGAAATGGAACCATAAAAATAGAAAGAGAGAATTATATATTTGGCACTAAAACAAATCGGTCTTTCATATTTGGCATTAGAAAATTTGAACTTCCTTATCTAGCATCGAGTTGAAATTTTCTTTCGTAAATGGCACTGCCGTCCATTTAGACCAGTAACGGTGTTAAGTGGCTAGGAAAATGACATAAATGCCCTTAACTGTAGCAAAAGTCGATGGTGCTAAATAAAGAAAAAATAAATAGACAGGTTGTCAAATAAAAAAATCATAAATATACTTTGAACTAAAATGTGGATTTTTGATAATTAAAGACTGCAAATAAATAATTAATAAATTTTAAATTGGTAATAGTAGGTACAGATATAGGAGTAGCACGCTCTCGTACGTGCCAGTAGTGTCCTAGCTCAGCTCAGCTCCTTTCTTCCACTCCACGGCTGGGGAGCCACACCACACGCTCACTCACCAGTCTCCAAGCTCACCACCCGCCATTGCTAGCTTCTCTAGCTGAGACGCATGCACAAACCGAGCGCAAGCCATGCCACGCCCAGTTTAAAGTAAGGCAGCCGCCGCCTAGCTCATCATCAGCGCCAATTAAGGATCCAGGAAGACAAACCACCGTATTACATACGGTCATCATCCGCAGCAGCGAGCAATGCCGAAGAATTCCTGCGCCGGCGGCTGCGAGATCCAAGCCAGCGGCATCAACTACCGCATCACCGTCTCCAGTCGACCACACCCTCCTCTCAAGGTCTGGAGCAGGTCAGACGACGACGTCCATGTCCAAGACCACCAGGACCACCACCACCACCACAGCGTCCGCCATGTGCTTAGGGACGTCTCCTACCGCGCGCGCCCCAGCGAGCTGCTCGCCATCGTTGGCCCCAGCGGCGCTGGCAAGTCCACCCTGCTCGAGATCCTCGCTGGCCGCCTCTCCCCGTCCCCGCAGCACGACCTCCTCCTCCTCGACGGCGCCGCCGCCCACAGCGCCGACCTCCGCCGCGTCTCCGGCTACGTCACCCAACAGGACGTACCCTTCCCGCTGCTCACCGTGCGCGAGACGCTGCTCTTCAGCGCGCGCCGGTACACCAACTCGCGGGCGCGCGAGGTCGCGGTGCTGTCCCAGCGCTTCTTCAAGAACGTGGCGCGGATGCGGCAGCTCTTCGCGTGGCACACCGTGTGCATGCTGGTGGCGGGGCTTGCGCTGGGCTCCATCTTCTACGACCTCGGCGAGGACAAGGTGGCGGAGCGCGTGGGCCTCTTCGCCTTCCTGCTCACCTTCCTCCTGTCGTCCACCACGGAGGCGCTTCCCATCTTCCTGCAGGAGCGCGACATCCTGGCCAAGGAGACGTCGTCGGGGGCGTACCGGGTGTCATCGTACGCGGTGGCCAACGCGGTGGTGTTCCTGCCCTTCAAGCTGGCGCTGGCCGTCGTGTTCGCGGCGCCTGTGTACTGGCTGGCGGGTCTCCGTCGCACGGCGGCGGCGTTCGGCTACTTCCTGCTGGTGATATGGCTGATCCTGTACACGGCGAACTCGGTGGTGGTGTGCTTCGCGGCGGCGGCGCCAGACTTCGTGGTGGGGAACGTGGCAATCCAGGGAGTGATGGGCTCCTTCTTCCTCTTCTCGGGCTACTTCATCGCGCGGTCGGCGATGCCGGCGTGCTGGGTGTTCATGCACTACCTATCGCTGTTCAAGAGGGGCATTTTGGTACTTCCGAAACAAACATGACAGGGTCAATGCAATCAACTAACGGATGGATGCACTAAATGGACGGTAGTGCCATTTACAGAAGAAAATTTTAACTCGATGCCAAATAAGAAAGTTCAAAAATTTTAGTGCTAAATAAAGAAGACTGATTTGTTCCAGTGCCAAATACATAATTGCCCCAAATAGAAAAGGTTTGCATGCCCAAGTGGTATGTTCTTAAGGATTCATACTCAACATTATTAAGCATGACATGAACATCCTCCTTACAAATGTTTTGACAGAAAAATCACACTAAAGGAGGAGGATTTCTCTATGTGTAAGAAAAATAAAGAGGACGTGCCAGTGTACTAAACTACACAAAAATAAACAAAAGGAGCAACACACAATTTATTCATATTTATGGAAAATACAAATAATGGTACCCTTATACAAATATGCTCCACAGCCTGCTGGTGTATTGCGTCTATATTACTTACTCTTAAGTCCCTACATAAGATGTACTCTTTAACCAATCACTTAGTCATGGAGTATACAAAAGATGCAATTCTCGTCTGCTCTCACTTTTCTCGTTTTGTGTTCGGCATCTTGCAGTTCAAGGATCTTCGTCATTGTGCTACAAGGGATAGCTTACACGAAGTGCGTGTAATGGCCGAGCATGACGCCAAAGATCGATACTTGGGCGAAAGTCAGTTGTCTACATGCGCTAACATATCGGATGTGATTAAGGATTGTGATGATCACTACCGGAATCTCAAGCTTTGCTGAGTGTCGGAGGCTTTGCCGAATGTATTTTATCGGGCACTTGGCAAAGACGGTCTTTGCCGAGTGCCAAATAAAATACACTCGGCAAAAAAAAAAAACACTCGACAAAGATGACTTTCCCGAGTGTTTTTTTCGGCGGCACTCGGCAAAGAGGTATTTTGCCGTGTGCAATTTTTTTTTGGCCCTCGGCAAATCATTTTTTCGAAGCAATTTTTGAGGCCCTAAATGAATTCAAATGAAAAACTTTTCAACTACAAAGTTATATAACTTCTCAAGATCTACAAAGTTTATTTTGGTCATTTCTTCATTTGACAAAGCGACCATAACGTTGTTCATAAAATCTACATCTCTCTCATATTAGTTTCATGAAAGTAGAAGAGAGATATATAAGATTTGTGAACAATGTTACTACCACTATGTCGGATGAACAAATGACCAAAATAAACTTTGTAGATCTTGAGAAGTTATGAAATTTTGTAGTTGACAACATTTTGATTTGAAATCATCTTGTCATGCAAAAACGACGTTTGAATTTGAAAATTTTAAAATTTGAATTTTTCAAAAGACCTCGGATGGAAAAACTTCCTAAATGAAAATTGTAGATCTCCAAAAGTTATGAAACTATGTAGTTGATAACTTTTTGATTTGAAATCATCTTATCATGCAAAACTACGTTTGAATCTCTCAAATTTAAAATTCGAATTTTTCAAACGACCTCGGATGGAAAAACTTCCTAAATGAAAATTATAGATCTCGAAAAGTTATGAAACTATGTAGTTGACAACTTTTTGATTTGAAATCATCTTATCATGCAAAACTACGTTTGAATCTCTCAAATTTAAAATTCGAATTTTTCAAACGACCTCGGATGGAAAAACTTCCTAAATGAAAATTGTAGTTGACCACTTTTTGATTTGAATTCGTTTAGGGCCTCAAACAAGCAATTTACTCTCGGTTTAGTATAATATGTGAGGATAGATAACGGAATCTAGACATAAGTGACAGTGTAGTGTAGTGGTAGAGGAGTAGACACGCGAGGGAGAGGTCGTGAGTTCGAATCCCGCCGGCCGCGTTAGCCACGAATTTAGCGCAAAAAATACATCGACTTTGACGAAGACGGGCGGGCGTTGGCTAGAGGCAGCCTCCCCCGAAAAAAAAATTTGAAAAATTTTGCTATTATTTTTGGTTTTTTCACATTTTTATTTTGCCGAGTGTAAATCTTTGTCGAGTGCTTTTCAGACACTCGGTAAAGGCTTTGCCGAGTGCCTAACAAAAAGCACTCGGCAAAGCTTCTTTGCCGATCAATTCTTTGCCGAGTGCCCTTTGCCAAGTGCGGCACTCGGCAAAGCCTTTGCCGAGTGTATTTTGGGCTTTGCCGAGTGCCGCGGCAAAGCTTGAGATTCCAGTAGTGGATATGCCGCAAACAGGGAGGATTGAAGAGTATTTCTTTGGGATGATCCATAGCACTAAAACCCATAGTTGTCTTGTGCTATGTAAACCCAAAACACAAATGCTCGTTATTAATTGGGTTGACTGGACCATGCGTTGGGTAGATCCAAAACACTAAAACCTAGAGTTGTCTGTTTTTTGGGTGAACCCGTAACACAATGCTTGTCAATTGAGTAGACTAGATCAAGGGCAGGGTTGACCCCAAAAGCTAAAACCCAGAGTTGTCTTCTGCCAGGTCAACCCAAAATGCTATGCTTGTTGATTGAGTAGAATGGACAAGGGTTGGGTTGACCGAATGTACATCCATAGTTACAACTAACGACAACAGCTTATTCATTGTTGGTGATGAACACTAGGGCCCATCTGAGACACACTTTTGGTGATTGTTTTGTTACCAAGTCCTATTCTAGTGACAGCAATCATATCCTGTAATGATGGACAATCACAAGCCGCCACTTGCATTTTTTCCACTAGTTCATTTGGTTGTGTTATGCTTGTTTGTTTCACAAAGTATATCTCCCATAATCACAATCCACTTGCACCTCTTTCCTCCACTTTATTCCCTGGAAAAATTACACATGAATAGTTTGAAAGCACTACTTCTCTGTTTAGAAACATCCATCATATATATGTTTTTTTGAGTAAAAATAATACATATACTATGTTTAGAAACATCCATCATATATAGTCAACATCCGAAGTCATATCTCATTTGCCTCTAAAAATTGCTCTCATATACATGCAAAACAATTTAAACTATGTTTTCTGAGTAAAAATAATACATATACTACGGTACTTATATATGATTTCCAGCAAGTAGCATGGTATCAGATGATCCTTATGCATATTATAATATAATTGGCAGATGTTATGCACCAAAAACAAACTTCAATGAAATAGACATAACCATGAAAATTTGAAAACTACAGGCTACACGTATATTATATTTATGTTATCCAGTTGAAAACTACAGTATTTTGATCCTCTATTTTATAGTATAAACCTAAAAGGTTAAAAACTAAATTACATGTGTAGAATCTCCTAAAAGTACCAGAAGACCCTCGAATAAAAATAAACATCCATCAGATATGTCATCTTCTCTACTTCTGGCATTGGTCCCTCACGTGACCGTACATGGAGGACCATTGCAAGTAGAGAATTCCAAGGATGGATTCAACATGACCTAACCAAGCTATTCACACAACTCCAATTTTGGTATGCACACTATGGCACAACAGAAGCTTCTGCTAGACAGAGACGTAAACTTGACACCACAATCCCGCACATGAAGCACAGGTGGTTCGATAGTAGTCATACTCCTCTTCAAGCAATGTGGATAGTAAACAGCTTGTGTGACAATCGTTTCATGCCAATGTCGTAGGAACCCAGAAATAAGAAGATGCAACGTCAACCCTTGGATAGGAATGATTCCTGACGCCGCCCATTTCTACTCCAATCTATAATGGAAAAACATCTTCGTTCAAACATCTTCAAGCACCATGCTCATTCGTTGTTGTGCTTCCAAGGAGCAGCATATCGAAATCCAGATGCTTTTATGTCTTCAACTCGTGTACCTACATTCACTATACATACTCTTTCCTGTGGTCTAATTTATACTAAAGGTTCTTAATTAAAGAAGAAACTCTGTAGTTTTATAACAAAGGCATCTCAACACTAATGAAACACATGCATGTGCGAACAGTCAGCAACAGGCTCTTTCCGTACAATTCATTACTCTTTTTAACAAAGTGGTTTGATGCAGTAATTGTATTGATGTGAAAAGGTAACTTACATCACTTGTTTCATAATACAGACCTTGAAAGCACAAATAAAATATGTTGCAGAGTACACATATCGTCTAGAACATCATAAATAAAGTACTCTAGATCGAAAACATTACACAAACAACACATTTTCTAGAATGTTTAGAAGAGATGTGACATACAGACGTAACCAATCCATGCATTTACTACCCCAAAACCGGCAATCACTGTCAATTTGAAACCGGCTTTCACTTACGGTTCAAAATTCAATTGAGCTCTGGTATGCTGCTGGAGAATCCTACAACTATAAATAACCGGCACAGATCAAAACCGATCATGACCAACGATTGGCAACCTCCTCGATCTTTGACTGTGCAATGACTGCAAGGTGCTGAAACCATTATGACACTCCATTATCAACAAGGTTGCACTATGGACATATAGTGCCCCATCCAAGAATTTATCAGATTGGATTGATTATGATGTCTTGCCTCCATTACATATGCCTCCCATTTCTGCTCACATTGTGGTTCCTGAAAGAGGGAGTAAACCTTTTCACATATGTTCCAGCTTAACACATGAGCTTGGGCAAACCTTTCAGTCTTCGTGCTAGCTAGTTATATATATGCATCTGTTTTTTGTGGGAAATATAGATGCACCTTTTTCTGAGGCAAAGATAGGCATAATTTTAGATATTGACCTACAGAGTTGCTGAGGTTGGGCTCCCAATTTAAATCCAACTTTTACCATCTTATGATTCACTAAACATGAGGCAGTAGCTATGATTTAGATCACATTGACAAGAAAAGTTGCAGTCGGTTGAAAATTACTGCACCGGACATTGCAGACCAGACTGCAGCAGCTGAGCATTTCAAACACCGGATAGTCCGTACTATGCTAGCAGAGTGAAGACAGCACTACTGGAGGCGCGGCTTTGCCGAGGGTTTTTACATCCTCGGCAAAGGCTTTGCCGAGTGTAGCACTCGGCAAAGTCCGCTTGGCAAAAAATTTCTCGGCAAAGGGTCTTTGCCGAGTGCTTTTCATCGG